CTGGCAAATATACTGGAGTGATTTTCCATTTCCTTCTATAGCTCATTTTCCAGATGAGGAAACTGAAGCAAAAAGTTAAGTAACTGGCTTAGGGTCACACGGCTAGTAAGTATCTGAGGCCAGATTTGAACTCAGGAAGATGACGTCCTGACTCCAAGTTTGACACTGTACCCATGGTGCCAATTAGCTGCTCCTGCCCAATGCAATATCTGGTTTAATGAATCCTTGTCGATTGTTAACTCATTGATTGGAAAGTCCCACCAAGCTGGGAAGGTTTTAAGAATAGGCCCAGATATAGAATATATGTTTATCATATCAGGATCTTCCCAGCTAAGGCTAGGGTTTTTTTGTGTGCCTGATTTCTTCTCAAAGGATGATGGATTTTTATGCCATAACTTTTAAACATCATCTATTATAGTCAATATATTATAATATGTTATTACGGCGCGTTACAATCTGTGCTGTTGAAGTGTCCACTTCAACAAAATAATAGATCCTGGAAGTACATGATTTTCCATCTCCCATCTTCCTGCCTTTGCCCAGCCTGTCCCTTGTGCCTGGGGGGGGGCGCGTCTCTAGTCCTGATCTATATCTGCTCACTGGACTCAGATGGCTCCAGAGGAGAGAGTGAGGCTGATGACCTTGCACAACCCTGCCTCACTTAAATCCAATTCACTTACAACTCATGACATCATCTTCCTGATGTCATGGTCCGCTTCCAGAATGAAGGACTAATAACAATAGCAACCCCGAGTTCCTGGAAAGTTCCTGCTCCTCACTTGCATCTCCTAGAATTCTTAGCTTCCACCCACCTTTAACACGATGCTTCCTTACAATCCTCTCTTGTTACTTGTTGGTACTCTACAGTAATTACTTTACTTGTTGGTACTCTACAGTATTTACTATGTCGATATTTTGTATTTATTTATTTATTTGTGTGAGAGTTCAGGGCCGGAGTCAGGAAGACTCACCTTCCTGAGTTCAAATCTGGCTTCAGAAACTTACTATATGTGTGACCCTGGGCAAGTCACTTAACTGTTTTCCTCAGTTTCCTCATCTGTAAAATGAGCTGAAGAAAGACATGGCAAACGACTCCGGAATCTATGCCAAGAAAACCCCAAATGGGGTCACAAAGAGTTGGACACAACTGAAATGAATGAGCAACAGCATACTTCTGACAATAGAATGTAAGCTCTAGGAAGGCAGAGACTTTCACTTTTTTATTCCCAGCACCTAGATAAAGCAGGTGCTAAGTGTTGATTTATAACAATAATAATGATGATAACAACAACAATGAATAATAGCTAACATTTATATGGCACTTACTATGTGTCAGGTGCTATGCTAAGCACTTTATAATAATCTCATTTGATTCTCACAACAGCTCCGGGAAGGAAGTGTTATTATTATTATTCCCCTTTTACAGGTGAGGAAACTTTTGGCAAATAGGAGTTAAGTGACTTACTCAGGGTCACACATCTAGTAAATGTCTGAGGCTGGATTTGAACTCAGGTCTTCCTGACTCCAGACCCATTACTCTGTTTATTTTGCATGAAAAGATGGGTCATTCTCTCAATTAGTTTAAGAGTTATAGTTCCCTTTGTTCTTGTAAAAGTGGGTGCCCACAATACATGTTAAAACTAAATGAACAAATAGATGAAAAAGCATAGTGCTAGGGCTGCTATAAGTACTGAGGATAAAAATTCAAAAAGCAAGGAACTTACATTTTAATAGGGGAACCGAAGGGGGCAGAGGATATAGACTGGGAGGAGTGTTTTGGTATAGGAAGTCACCCGTGTGTTAAGAGGAATCACAGGGCTATTGATTGATGTCTCCTCTTCAAGAACAGTAGTGTAGATGTGACTACTGTTTCCAGGGGTCAAAGTGGAAAGCAAGGTTGGGTGGGGGGAGAAAGAGAGAGGAAGATAGAGAACACTGTGGGTAGGGTGGCAAGGCTTTGGCTCAGTGGGTTGGACTTTCTCCCCATAGGTGTCCAGAAGCTACCATCCCATTCCCTCAAGATTTGTGGTACTATGTTGGCCCAAGCCTCTTAATACAACTCTGCTCCTTCACTCCCTCCAAGGCCAGGATCCCATCTCCCGGTACCCATCTCCTTGGGCATTTTTCCTTCTTCACCCAGACCCTGACGGGCAGGAGCTGTTCCCTCTGCACCATGAGCCATCAGGCTACAGTGATGAACTTTCCCAAATCCCAAGTGCAAAATGACTTGAATGTTACCGCTCGTGTCTTTAGCCTGGTTCAACTTTATTACCCATTTAATGGAGTTGTGACAAAACGTAGGAGCCCAACAGCCTGGGGATCACAGAGGCTATGATGTTTATTGTGCTGAACAGAATGTGATAATCCATTAAAGGAACATTTTCAACAAGCAAGCAGTTCAAGGTACAATCATAGACAGCAACTCTATATGAAGAACAAAGCAAAAAAAAAGTTAGAAGACACTCAAGAAACAGAGAAAAAGTAAACTGCAGTTAAACGTCTTGATACTTTTCTCCTGCAAACATACCTATCTTGCAGAAATGGTCGAAAAGCTAAATGTCCAGTCTTACCTAGCCGTGACCAACGACAGTGAAGAACAGTCCTATAAAATTTATCTCCCACAAAAATAAACTATATATATAAAAAATTTTATGATGCTCTCACTGTTCCGATGGCCACAAGCATTTTTTTCAGTCTGAAAAATGAGGTATAGTAGGCCCTAAGAGGTAGTAATGTGTTTTGATTGTACAATATATAGAAAACAAAAGACAAACTTCATCAGAGCTGTAAATCCCTCGGTGCTCAGAGGCTGATCAACATGCATTGATCACTGAGGTTTCTAAAAATGTAATATACCAATGGCTATGGAAAATGACTTTTTATTTCTTCTAAAAGAGTCACTAGTTATTTCCATTTGTCTAATGCTCAGTTAACATTAACATGCCTAGTTTTAATTCTCCCTTCAACTTTTTTATTTTTTTGGGGGGGGGCATGATTCATAACAATGAGCTCTCTGCCAGCCTCGAAAAGTACGTGAACCTTTAAATGAGCTCAGTGAAGAAGGAAGAAATGAGTGGTTTTTTTTGTTGTTGTTGTTCTTCTTCCTTAGTTTCATTTGACTCTAATACTAAAAAGCCATACTGACATAAGCCTTCATGAGAAACTACCTCCTGGCCCAGTTCATAATACAATGTTAAAAAAAAATAGACATACTGACTAGGAGAAAGAGGCATTAAAAACTCTAATAGGAAGCATTTAAAATAAATCTGGTTGAAACATATTACAAAAAAAATCACATTTGTGTAAAATATATGAAAATACTTGTCAAGCATTTTCTTACAATCTACTAATTTTAAAACATGTTTTTATGATTGCATTATGCAAAAGCCAAGCTCACTGCTTCCTACCTACAATGCTTCAAGTTTCTTTGAAGGTTTTTTTTTTATTTTAGTGAAAAAGTAATTTAAAATGTGTTCTTTTCTATCAAAATTCTTTTACAAAAATACTTTTGATTAGGGATTAGTTGCAGTCCTAACTGTTTCAAACACGGCAGAACTAATGGTGAACGTTAACATGTTCATTCCATTTTATGTCGGGAGGTAGGTCTTTGTCAATCCATTAGTCCATTTCTTTAAACAATTCATTTGAGGTACAAACTTGGACAGTAACGTTCAAACAGTACAGCTAAAATTTTGTTTTGTTTTGTGTTTGTTTTTGTCATTGTAGTGTCATTGAAGAAAATTATCCTTACAAAACCTAGGAGCAATTCAGTACAAAAATATATTCAAGTTAACAGTACATTACATAGAAATCTAGCAGAGAATAGAAATAAGTACATTTAAAATTGGGGAAAAATGAAGAAAAAATACATGTCATGCTGAAACATGCTAAAGAGGTTGCTTCTTTAACTCCAATTAAGTGGTGAGGCGGAAATGAGGAGAAAATGAAGAGATCCAAAATCATTTACCCAAAGGATTTTTTTTCCTGCATTTTATGTGTATAGCAGCAAGTATTTATCAGGCTGTAAAAGTAATTGTAAAAATCAGAGGTAGCATTGAAGAGTGGGGAATATATTGCATCTGTTGCTAAAAGTGCAGTTTGAATGAAAAGATGGGAGCACTGAAATTGAGGTAAAATACCAGCCAACCATCCTATGTCAAAAGGCATCATTGGAATTAATACAAAACCCCACTTTGAGGTACATGGTATTCTTTTTTTGTTCTTTTAAAAAAAACATTTAAATCGACACATAATGAAAAGAGATAAGAATCCTTTGACTTTTTCATCACTAGTAGGATGACTGTGGCATCCCTCTCACCAATTTAAAATTTATCCCCTCCCCCATGCTTCACATTAGTTGATGTCATTGATCCAGAAGTACCTTTATTTAAAAAAAAATTTTTTTTTTAAAAAGATGGTCATTTTACTTGATCACCATCTACAGATGCTTTCAGGACAATTGTTACTGATTTCTAAATGGAGTTTACCTATGGAGAAAGACAGTTCTACCCAGATGAGTGTTTTCCTGAAGATGAGTACTACTGAGTGTGTTGATTGCTTCTGCTGATATGGTCAGTATAACCATAAATATACAATTTGGCAACATAGATTTGCCTTACTTCCCTTCTGCAAAATGAGTACAAAACCTCTTCTGGTTTATGAGTTGAGAGAAATGACAAATCAGCCTTAAATTTTTCTTGAAATAACAGTAAGTGAAAAAAAAATCAAGTAAAAGTCTACAAGATAATTAAAAAAAAAAAGAGTAGCATCTATCCCTTATCTTTGGTGTTCTAAACAGGGAGTTGACTAAGATAGGAGTGGGTTGTCGGTGGTGTCTGAGGCCTATAACGTGTTTCACACCAAGCCTTTCTTGTATGAATGCCCATTATAATTAATATTACAAGTTTCTGGTTTACATGCAGTGCAGTGAATGACTAAACCTGATTCAAAGATTTTTCTGACCCATTCACCCTTTCTTAGCAGCTCAACAAACTATTAGTAGGTTAAGAAAATAGAAAACAGTAATTAAAAGTTGCATCGTTAATCTGTGTCCCCCTGTGTTACAGCAGTTTTTCACTAAACCTGGGACTGTGAAGGGATTACAAAGAAGGTGATTAATAAAGTCCTTTTTAAGGTTATGTGATTTTTTTCCCCCAGGCAAAAGTGGAAAAGACCATGGCAATAGAAAACTAAGTGGTCACGGCAGTGTCTTCTCCCTTCAAAAGACCCAACTGCTGATGAGGTAGAAATGGAATGGTGTGGTCTCCTAATCATCTTCTGCAGATTCTTGTGAAGACGTCTCTTCAGTCTCTTCCTGAAACACATGGAAAGCACAATCAATTAACTCCTCATGATGGGCCTTATAAGTAAAGTGAGAGGTGACTTTCTTTTTCTTTCTTTTTTTTTTTGGCTAGGCAATGGGGTTAAGTGACTTGCCTAGGGTCACACAGTTAGTTAAGTGTCAAGTGTCTGAGGCTAGATTTGAACTCAGGTTCTCCTGACTCCAGGGCTGATCAGTGCTGTCTCCACTACGCCACTTAGCTGCCCCTAGAGAGGTGACTTTCTTATAATAAAAATCATGACTTGAACTTCCAAGAAGGATGAGGCTGTTTGGCAGGCACCTCCCATCTTCAATGTTTCTGGGACAAGTAGTTGAGGAATCAAGGTGTTGTTTTTTCCCATAGCAGCCATTAACCATTGTTGATTTAACATTTGACATAGTGACAGGCAGAAAACGTAATTGTTTTCAGGCCAAAGAATGTCAGTACGGTGTCTGTTTCTTCACCGGTGAGGACAGGAAAAGAAACAAATGCATCTCTATCAAGATTGTTCAAATTTGGAGATACGGGTCAAAAAATAAGAAAAGGAAAAATGAAGGAGGTAGGGGGAGAACTTCAGCCTTCAAGTGTCAGTGGTAGTGGTAACTTCCCTCCCCCTGCCCCCCAATATGTGCCCCTGCTCTTTTGCTCATTAAAGAACCAACGAGAGAGGAAGGAAAACAACCAATTTTGTGTGTGCGTGAATTTAATTTTTTTTTAAAGAGCCAAAGAGAGTAAATAATTTTCTGTAACTTAAATAAAAATGATAACCAAAGGTCTATGACTGCTCTGGCTTCCAGACATTTAGGCCATGCATAGAAATGCACAGTCAAATGGCAGATTTGCCTGGCAGCATGAATTTATTCTGTCTTGATTATGGATTGCTGGGAGTATTTTTTAATGTTGAGCCTGAGTGTTCATCCTGCAGTCTATGTCTTTGGAGTCGGTAGGGGCCTTCAGCAGACCTCCCTGCTCCCCACGCCCTCCAACCCCCTTACCAGGCAATCCTCTTTCTTTGCTTATTTAATAAATTTGCAGTACCTTTCAGGACATGGGTGGTAAATGGGAGACAATAAACATTTCTGATAAAAAGGGTTGTTAGCGAGAGGTTGATTTTTATCAAACGCCACCCATCATCTCCTAAGATGGCATGTGAACAAGACCTAGGAAGACTAGGTAAACATTTACCCCTACAGCTAACTGAGACCCTTTAAGAATGGCCGGCTTAAAACAGCTTATAACAGTCTTCATACTTTAATAGATTTGATTTTCCACATGGCTTCATTTTGTCTGGGTAGCTAACTGACACAATTTATAACTCTCTTCCTTTCCCAGGCCACTACAGTACACCATTCAGTAAAGCATGCCTTAAAGCTTGTCTGCATTATATGACCAAACTTCCATTCATTAGTGTTTGAAACACTTCAGCTGTGAAGGGGCTTCTAAATGCTACCATGTGTGACAGCGCTGCATGAGAGTGGCCGCGTGGAAAGAAAACACACACACACATCCATACATACAGACCTCTCTCTCTGTCTTTGTCTCTCTCTGCCTGTCTGTCTCTCTGCTCTCTCTGTCTCTCTGCTCTCTCTCTCTCTCTTTCTCCTCTCTGTCTCTGTCTCTTTTCTGTTTTTCTCTTCTCTCTCTCTGTCTCTTTGCTTCTGTCTCTGTCTCTCTCCTCTCTCTTTCTCCCTCTTTCTCTCTCTTCCCTCTCTCTCCATGTCTCTCCTTTCTCTCTGTCTCTGTTCTCTCTCTGTCTCTCTGCTCTCTGTCCCTTTCTCCCCTCTGTCTCTGTCTCTCTCTGCCCTCTCTCTGTCCCTCTTCTCTCTTTCTCTGTTTCTCTTCCTTCTCTGTCTCTGTCTCTCCTCTCTCACTATCCCTCTCTGTCTCTTCTCTCTGTCTCTGCCTCTTCTCTCTGTCTGTCTCTCCCCTCTCTCTCTGTCTGTCTCTCTTCTCTCTTTCTTGGTCTGTCTCTCCTTTTTCTTTCTCTCTCTGTCTCTGTGTCTGTCTGTCTGTCTCTCTCTGTCTGTCTTCTCTCTCTTTGTGTCTCTCCTCTCTCTGTCTTTTTCCATCTCTGTCTCTCCTCTCTTTGTCTCTCTCCCCCCTTTCTCTCTGTCTTTCTCCGACTCTGTCTCTCCCTTTCTCCCCCTCCCTCCCTTGGCTTTAATCATAGGCCACTGCTTATTGCAATCCCTTTTCAAAAGGTTTCAAACATCTCCCCCCAAAAGGCTAAAAGAAAAAAAAGCTATTAATCCAGGGAATGAACATACACACACAAATGAATGGATGACAGCTTAAAAAATATAACCATAGCAGCATCTAGCCCTGAGATTTAACACTGGTTTTGTTTAGTCTGCTGTGGGTTAGGTGGGAAATGTGGAAAGCATGAAGTAAAAGCCCTTCCTGCTAAACTGTGGGCCTCCAATATTTAAGCCGGTAGGTTTAGACCTCTTGACGAGGCAACAGGCCATGACCCTGGGACGCTACTCTCTGGAGGACCAGCCACAGAGGGAGATGTAGCGTGATCAAAGCCATGGCGAGAAGAAAGAGAGAGAAGCCAAGGGTCAGCTGCCTTCTGACCTTGTCTTTTCACTTAATATTTAAATTCCAGGAAGTGGCTAACCTGTCCGACAGAAACTAGCTTCATTTCGGTAATGACTTACTTCTCATTGTGACTAAGGGGTGTGGATTTAAGGGACTACTTTGAAATTCACCACTGTGATGGCTACTTTTTTTTTTAAGTAGGGCAGATTTTATTTCTTTTCAAAGCTAGAAAGAATTTTTCAGATCATCTACTCCAAGCCCTCTTTTTTTACAGATGTGGAAACTGAGACCCAAAAAGGTGAAGTCAGGGTCACAAAGGTAGTAAGCGGCAAAGTTGAGATTTGAAACCAGACTCTCTCACTATTGCTACAAATAACTAGCATTTATTTTGTGTTTTGACCTCATGAAGTACTTTACATTTTATTTTGCAAACTTCACTCTGTGAAGTAGCTGCTATTTTACAAATGAAGAAACTGAGGCAAACAGAGGTTAAATGACTTCTCTAGTACGTGCAGCTAGTAACTATCTGAGGAAGGATTTGAACTCAGGTTTTCCTGACTTTAGAGTCCTTGGACATTTACTATTCATTGCCCCACTTATCTGTCTCTGATGCCAGATCTTGACGCATTGCTGGGACTCACGTAGGTTCAATAATTTGTTTGGCTTTACTGTATTATTATAGAACCAAAAGTAAATATAATAACAAGAAACATTTCCTAGTAAGTTGACACAAACAAACAGGGCCATCAACAGTCATAAAAATGCTTTAAACCATTAATAATAAGAGAAAAAAACCCTCTAAAATGCAGTTGAATGATACAGTGGATGGAGCTCTGGAGTCAGGAATACCTGAGTTCAGATCCCTCCTAGACACTTTATGAGCTGGGTGAGTCATTTAACTTTTCTAAGCCTCTGTTTTTTTCCTCACGTATAAAACAGGAAAACTAATAACATCGACTCTATGTAGTTGTTAGGATAAAGTGAAATAACACATGTGTAGTTCTTTGCAGCTAGGTGGCGCCATGGATAGAGTGCTCAGGCCAGAGTCAGGAAGACTCATCTTTGTGAGTTCAAATCTGACCTCAGACACTTACTAGCTGAGTGACCCTGGACAAGTCACTTCACCTTGATTGCCTTGGTTTCTGAGCTGGAGAAGGAAATGGTAAACCCCTCCAGCATCTTTGCCAAGAAAACTCCAAATAGGGTCACAAAAAGTTGGATGTGACTGACAACATCAAAGGGCTTTGCAAACATGAAAGGGCCACATAAATGTTCCATTTATTATTAAAATTCCACCTCACATCTCTCATATTAGTGAAGAGGACAAAAGAGGAAGATGGGAATTGTTGGAGAGGATATGAGCATATGAAAGCACTTTTGGTTGAACTGTGAACCGTACCTTAGAAGTCACAAACCGGGCGTACTCTTTGACTCAGCAATCCCACTAACCAAAAATATAGTCCAAAGAGGGAAGGGATCCATATGCACCAAAGTATTTATAGCAGCACTTTCTCTTTTTCGCAAAAAACCAAAAAAAAAGCGAGTGCCTGTTAGTTGGTTTCTTTCAAGTCTCACTTTAGATCTTCCATTCTAAAGGAGATGTTCACCAAGCCCTTAATTCCAGTGCCTTCTCCCTGTTGTTTATTTCTGATTTCTCCTGTCTATAGCTTGTTTGCATAGGATTGTTTTCGTGTGGTCTCCCTCCTTAGACTGTGAGCTCCTTGAGGGCAGTGACTGTCATTTGCCTCTCTTTGTATTCCCAGACCGTACCAAAGTGCCACGTGGGGCACATAGTAGGTGTTTTATAAAAGTTTACTGAATAATTGGGGAATGGCTCAATATGGTCTATGTATGGGATGCAATATTATTGTGACATTAGAAATGAGAAAAGGGAGATTCAGGGAAATTTGTGAGCAGAACCGGGAGAAAAACTTACATAATGCCTACAATTGTGTAAAGAAAAAACAACTTTGAAAAAGTCAAGAATTATGATCGACCCTATCACCAATTACATACGACTCTATTAGGTATAACAGATGGAGTGCTAGATGTGGAGTCAAGAATATCTGAGTTTAAATCTTTCCTCAGTGAGACCTTGGGCAAGCTAGTTAACTTCTTTGTCCTCAGCTCCTTATCCATCAAATGAGAGGTCAAAACCTTCAATAGACTTTAAAGCCATGAACCTCTGACTAACTGTATCTCTCCTGAAGCCCGATAACAACTCATGATTTCCGTTTCTTGGTAAAGAGATGACAGAGAAGAGGTACAGAATGAGACATGATGCTTTCAGACAGCCAGTCTGTTGGGTTGTCTTGCTTTGTTATCATTTCATCATTTTTCTGTCGTGTCTGATTCTCTGTGATGCCATTTGGGGTTTTCTTGGCAAAGAGACTGGAGCGGTTTGTCATTTCTTTCTTCAGGTTATTTTACAGATGAGGAAACTGAGGCAAAC